ATATTATTGTGTATTTTATATTTTAGGTGACCTAAAATTAAAATTTTCCGAATTCAGATCCGAAATTTTCCTATTTTGGAACAATTTTTTATTCCAATTTCCGAAATTCCGATTATTTCCGATTTTCTTTGGAACGGTATTGAAACTAATTTTCACTTCCGAAACAAATCATTTTTTTCCGAAAGAACTAGTTCCGATCAGTCCGATTTAAACCTCTAATATATTGTATGGGAAAATTGAGTCCATCAGTATCAGGGTTAGTATTCATCTATATTGTCAATTAATTTTGTTTGTAAAATAATCAAATCTAACATTAACATTAAATTAAAAATAAAAAAAGAATTGATAATATTTATTCGAAGCTAAAGTACTTTCGATATTTAAAGAAAAAATATCAAGGTAAAATAATTTTAATTAATATAAAGATGTCATGTCATTTTTTTAATCACTGTTGGAGTAGAAAAAATATATTATCCAACACTCCAACAATTTATAAAAATTAGAAGTAACTTATAAGGCTCTAAATCTAAATTAAAAAAGAATATTTAATTAATACTTTTTTTTTCATCAATTAAATTTTAAATAAAAAAGTAATATCAATAAAAAATAATAATAAAATCTCTAACAATTTGCGTAATCAAAAAGCAAATGACGAGAGCACATACATGGATCCTTGCTCGTCAGGTGGCTAATGGGAGCCAACCGCTGCTGGTGGCTACCGTCGGATCAAAGTGCAGGTCGATGAGAGAGATTATGAGGGTGGCGAAGCGGGTGGACCTGGCGGCGGAGAATGACGTCGGCGGGGATTATTACAGATAATTGAGGTGCGAGGAATGTGGCTCCGGCGAAAGAGAAGATGAGCTTCTGTTGTGCAACAAATGTGATAATACTTCATTTGGTTCAAACCTGAGAATAATTAATTCCTCTGGCCTCCTTTTGCATATTTATCATTTCACTAATTATGCAGACATGTAACAATATGTGCATGATTACATGTCTTTTATCTTACTGAGCTTTAATCTTATTTTGACCATTAAACGTTACAACCAAGAGGCTTTGATATGTTTTGATTATATATTTAATTCTTGGTACCGTCCAATTTCAGATACCAAGAAACGACGTAGAGATACAAGAACATTAGAATTCAGCAAGAAACAAAGAAGATTATTGACACATATTCCATCACAAGATCCTGTAAGAAGACTAGCTCAGATGAGTTTACTTGCCATGGCTATGACTTCACATAATTTGGAATACAACAACGACACTTATAACCCTAGCATGGCTCATAGATCAGCCAATCGATCTTCTTTCGAAAACGGGCGCATCCAGGTTCTATTTTAATTATAAACCTTCTCTAATTAATTTATTTATTTCCATTTTGGTTGCTCATTATAATTTTTGTTAGGTTCTTTGCAAAGAAGATGTAGAGATACTGAAAAACTGTAGGGCATTGTATATAAGAAGAGAATTCCCACCTCTTGTTGTAGCATTTGAAGGGTACTTAATTTTTTATTTTATTTTATTATTATATGATCAGTTCATGCAATTATATATAGTATATTATAGCCCTAATATCATATATGTACGTCAATACGAAAAAATTCATGTTGAAACATTAGATTGATTTGAATTTGATTGTTGTCGAATGTAAATCTAATGGTAAAAAAGAAGGCGTCGATTACACAAGGCAGAGGTTAGTTGCATGTAGGTATACTGTAGAAGCTGACGTGCCCATAAGGGATATGATTTTGATCGTTGAATACGCAGACAATGTTGATTACATAAGAAATCGGGAGGAAGATGATTGTGACAGTATGATGACTCTCCTTTCTTCAGCCGACCCGTCAAAAATTCTTGTTGCATGTGCAGATAGGCTTGGAAACATCTCCCGATTTATAAGTGGCATTAACAATCACACAACGTAAGTCTCTAAAACCAATCTTCTTCTCCTATAGTAGAGCTATATCTGGTGAATGCACATAATTGTTATGTATCCGCGTCCATTTACACTAGTATGTGTGTATGAATGATGGAAACACATTTTAATTTATGGTGAAAGGTGTATTAATCTTCAAGAGTAGTTTTGTTGTAGTTATGCACTTAAACCGTACACTAGATACACTGCTCACTTATTCAATTTTTAGTTATGTATACCGATTAGGCTTACGATACTTAAATTTGATGTTTATTCATGATTTTTTTTTATATAAAACAGTCGATCATTTTCAGTTATTAAAAGAAAATGAATACAATGTGTGATATTGTCTTGTTAATGACATCATTTGATCTTTTACATGAAAGACAGAAAAAAACAAAATATTAAATGCTAAGGTACAACGTAGATAAAGAATGTGTGGCGCTTCTCGTTGCGAATCGTGACATAGCAAATGGTGAGAGGCAATATTACGATTACAACGGTTGTGAGTATGAATATCCAACCCATTGTTTGTATAATTTAAGTTTTTCCTTCAAAATTTAAAGTTGTAAATTTATTTTTCCTTTAAATCAAACACTCACGGCAGATAGAAAGAAAGAAATCAAGTTTTTTACTTCAATTGTATTGTGCATAGAAATTTACATTAGATTGCGCATAATTTGCACAAACTTTTCACATATATGCAACTGATATTGAATATAAATTTGATTATTTTGTTAGAATCAACGATCCTATTAAATATTAGGTAAGTTCAACAAAATAAACTCATGTTATGTGGATGTAATCTTCAAAAAAAATTAACGGTCCTATTTGTTTTTTATTAATCACTAAACAATTAAAAAATTATTAGTAACCAATTATTTATTAATTTCTCATAAATTACTAAACAATCTACTACTACTATAACAACTACTAGTACGACAACAACTACTCCCACAACAATTACTACGAGCCCGACTATTACTATACTACAAGTCTACAACTCTATTTCTACTACTATTACTACATTTATTAATCGCTAAAACAATTATAAACAATTAGTAACCAATTATTTATTAATTACTTATATATTACTAAAAAAATGAACAATTATTAATTAATAATTTATTTTTTTACTTTGCATCCTGAAAAAAATACACCAATAAAAAATGAAGTTGTCGTCATTAAGTTTTTATAATTCAATTCAAGGGTGCAAAGTGCTATCACTATTTTCGATGATGCAAAGTGCCAAAATCCTACATTTTAATTTTTAAGAGTGCAAAGTGGAATTACATCCTTACTAATTATAACTTTTTGCTTGTTTTGTAGACTTTGTGCAATGTTCAATACATGTATTATTTTTTACTGCAAAATATATATGATTTTGACAATGTATTGGACTATGTTGTACATACAAGTTAGATAATTTTTATTGGTTTTTGAACTTCTCCCATTATGAATGATTGTTAAATCGTAAATTGAATCGAAAATCGATTTGTCAAAAACTCAAATCGTAAATCGAATAGAATTTTAAATCGTAAGATTTGTAATCCTTTCAAAATAATATGGATAATTATTATATATAAATATTTTAAAGAAATTATATAGTGTTATAACAAAATCTATATGTCTTTTAAAATTTATAAAGTCAAACTATAAAAGTTGTATGTTGAAGAATATAAAAAATTGAATGAATTAAGTATAAATAAATAAATTACGTAATAGAAGCTCGGTTATGCTATCATAATTGGGTACATGTGAGAAATTCGAGTAAAAATACAAATGTTTCTTGAGAACTAATTAAAATAAAATAATATTTATTTAACAATAATAGATTTGAACTCATTTCAATTGATTCTCTTCTTTATAGTGCAACAATAGATGAGGAATAAAAGCAAAAGTAATAGTATATTATAATTTTCTTTTTGTATATATTTGATTTAATAGTATTTCACGGGAATAAAGTGTTGACAATAACGTAATAATCACATTAACTATCTCTAATGTATTTTCAAAATTTTCTTAAATCGTAACTCGTAAGAGTTGATCAATTTTTTGACATTTAAGATTTGTTTTAAGATTTGAATCGATTTGGGTATGAACCGAATCGAATCGTAAGATTTGAATCGTATATCGTAAGATTTTAATAACCATGCCATTATGATTGATAGGAAACTCGTGTTTAGAGCGTTGTAGTCAATATCGCGATACGTTACGATTATATAAAAAACAAGATATACCGGCATATGTATCGGGCTTCTTTAAATATTGGTAAATATTTACCATATCTATTTTAGTGGTAATTTGTGCAATTTTCAGCATATTTGGGGTGATTTTGTGGGATTTTAGCACATTTGGGATTATTTATGTGATTTCCAGCACATTAGAGGTGATTTGGGCAATTATCAGTAAAAACAATTTATAACAATTGTGTTTAGTTTTTTTTTTTATTTAATTAAGGCAAAGACAAAATAAATCGTTTCAGATAAATATTGATCTTCTCCCAATTAAAATACAAAAAAAAAATTTTAAAAAATAAAACAAATAAAAACCAACAAATTTGTTCAACATTACATAATTGCACGGCAATTTATATCAATAAAACCAACACTAGCATTTCTAACCCATTAACTATAACTTTTTTTTCCTCTTTAATAATATAATTTAATGTTGAAACTGGCATTTAGATCTATTTTTATTCTTCAATATGTGTTTGATTAAAAATATTAAATTTAACTATATTTTTATTATACAAATATATATTTTGTTATATTTTCAATATTGCGACAAATATCGTACGATACGATATGATAAATGATACGATACAATATGTATAGAAAAGCGACACGTTTTGCATTT